TCAGTTATGTCACATGGGATAAATGGGGCAACTGAAAAAAAGTTCTAGTATCACCTTAGATCCATTTATCCATAATATTTAAATCAAAGAACATTAAATTATTGAAAAACAAATTAAAATATCAGTTATCCTAAGCATTAAATAACATTTAATTAGAGTAAATTCCAAGATGGCTAAACAAAGAGATGGCAGATTCTACTGCAATGAAATTGAAAATTTTAATACTAATGACTTGTTTCTCAAAAGTTAGTATCACGAAAAGAGTATTTTAAAATAATCCGGCTATTTCTTAATACATGACATTTAAACTTTCTGAAAACCAGAGTCTGGAAAAAAACTTATAAAAAAATAGGCAAGTACCCTTTAATAACTACAATAAAAAACACTTCTTTTTCTCAAGAATGCTTTATAACATTCCAACAAGCGGCTACCATGAAAGCAGTAATTTAGCAATAATATTTTTAACACATTTTATTACAACCAATATATAATCCAGTTTTTATAAACAACTTCTAACATCTGAAAAATTGAACTATACTATAAATACTGTTCCTCTATCCGACAGCAAACATTCGCTACATTTTCAGAGTAGCTACAATATGCTACTTTAGTTATTAAGAACTTAGTGCTTATTTACAACTGCTATCCAACCAGAAGCTTTGGCAAAGATAAGGAAACATTAAAATATCCCCCAGGAAAATATGACAGTCTGTCTTGTCACTAATCAATAAAACGTAACTAAATTAGAGAATCTTTAATATAAAGTCTCCCAACTCTCATACTCTAGGAAAGAAAAAGCAAGTAGATTTCATTCTAAATGTCAATTATAAATATTTGGAACCCTGGGTTGAAAAGGATTCTAAGAGTATGTAAGGACTTAGCATTAAAACTATATGACTCAAAACTAGCAGTAAGAGAGGAAGTACGCCCATACTCTACACTTAAGACTATTCTATCAATCACAGGCTTACCTTAGTTTAACTTCTACTAACATGCTCAACTATTTTAACTGTTTTTTCTTCTTTTTTTCCTTTTTTCGAGACAGGGTCTGAGCGCTGCTGCCCAGGCTAAAGTGCTGTGGTATAATCATAGCTCACTGCAGCCTCAAACTCCTCTCCCATCTTGGTATCCCAAAATGCTGGGATTAAAGGGATGAGTCACTGTGTCCAGCATATTATGACTATTAAAAAAAATATTTTAAGAGTACTATAAGCTAGCTTAAGCTTTAGGAAAAGCTCTCTGTGTACTTAACACCATTCTGTTAACCCCTTCATTATAACGGAATGCTGTCCTCCACCAACACTCAGAAATAAGTCTCATAATTACTGTTAGTTACATATGGGAGAATCATCTAATTAGGAAAGCAAGTACAACATCTAAAAACAAGACAAAAATCTTCAAATACTGGCATTTCAAAGTCATTGCTGCCAATATATGCACATAAATATAACTGACTTTTGTATATTGAGCTTGTATCCTGTGACACTGTTAAACTCACTTATTATTAGTTGTGGTAGCTTTTTTTGTAGTTTCTTGGGACTTTCTATGTAGATAAGCATGTTATCTGTGTATAGGAATAATATCCTTTCCAACCTGTATGTCTTCATTTCTCTTTTGTGCCTACTGCACTGGCTAGCACCTGCAATATGATGTTGAACAGTAGCAGTGATAGCAGACATCCTTGCTCTCTTTTTCATACCATTAAATATGACGCTAGATGATTTTTTTTTTTTTGTAGATGCACCTTATCAGGTAGAAGGCTCTCATCTATTACTAGGTTTGCTGAAAATTTTTATCATGACTAAATGTTGGATTTTTAAAAAATATTTTACGTGTCTATAGAAATGTTCATATAGTTTTTACTCTTTAGATTGTTCACATGGTAAATCCCATTTCCCTTCTTTTTTTTTTTTTCTTGAGACAGAGTCTTGCTCTGTCACCCAGGCTGGAGTGTGGTGGCGTGATCTCAGCACATTGCAACCTCCACCTCCCAGGTTCAAGTAATTCTCCTGCCTCAGCCTCCCAAGTAGCTGGGATTACAGGTATGTACCACCGCATCCAGCTAATTTTTTGTATTTTTAGTAGAGACAGAAAGCCAAGCTGGTCTCAAACTCCTGGCCTCAGGTGATCTGCCTGCCTTGGCCTCCCAAAGTGCTGGGATTACAGGCATAAGCCACTGCACCCAGCCTAATCCCATTAATTTTCAAATACTGAGTCAACCTTCCCTTCCCAGGATAAACCCCACTTGATCATGATGTAGTTTCCTTTTTAAATTTGTTGGATTACATTTACAAATATTTTTGTTGAGAAGGTTTGTGTCTATAATTCATGAAAAATAATAGTCTGTTGCTGTTTTCTAATGTCTTTGCCTGATTTTGGTAACAGGGTAATAATGTTGGTCTCATAAAATGTAATGGGAAGTGTTCCCTACTCTTCTATTATACATAAGAGTTTGTGTAGAATTGGTATTATTTCTTTCTTAAATGTTTCGTAGAAATCATCAGCAAAGCTATCTGAGCCTGAAGCTTCTTTGCTGGAAGGTATTTTAAATTATGAACTCAATTTATTGAAAAGATAAGACTAGCAATGTCAATTAAATGGAACATCTGAAAAAAAAAAAAGAAAAGACTATTCAGGTTATATATTCTTGACTAATATCCAATAACATGTAAGTTTTATGTATAAGTCTAACAAAATATGTTCAATATGTGTATGATGAACACTACAAAACACTGATGAAAAAATTTATAAACCAACTAAATGGAAAGATATACCATGTTCATGGTTTAAAAGACTCAATTTTGTTAAGATGTTTATTCTCCTTAAATTGGTCTTCAGACTCAAATGCAATCTCAGTCATGATCAGGCAAGCTGGCTCATATCTATAATCCCAGCACTTTGCCAGGCCAAAGCGGGTGGATCACCTGAGGTCAGGAGTTCAAGACTAGCCTGGACAACATGGTAAAACCCCTGTCTCTACTAAAAATACAAAAATTAGCTGGGCGTGGTGGTGCATACCTGTAGTCCCAGCTACTCGGGAGGATGAGGCAGGAGAACTGCTTGAACCCAGTAGACGGAGGTTGCGGTGAGCTGAGATTACGCCACTGCACTCCAGCCTGGGTGACAGAGCAAGATTCCATCTCAAAA